CCCCCGGGGCTGCAAAATCACTTTCCAATCCATTGTCATCGTCGTCTATGGGCTCCAGCTTGTCCAATGCCACAAACACGCCACAATCTTCATCACACTGAAAAAGCTGTTTCCCTTGATATACCCCATCAGTGAAACCTTGGCCATGACCTTCTTCCTAGTTTTCAAAGTTTTTTTAAAAAGAGATATAAAAAGATTATCCATTAAAGGGATTTCAGGAAATTACTTTGGAAAAACTCTAAATTATATCCATAATATGAAATATGACTAGCAGCTTGGGTTTAGGGTGTTTAAAGAATAAAGAAGCTGTATCTGATGATGAAACTAACTCATAATTTCAGAAGAAGAAGAAGAAGAAGAAGAAGAAGAAGAAGAAGAAGAAGAAGAAGAAGAAGAAGAAGAAGAAGAAGAAGAAGAAGGTGGAATTAGTAGAAATTGTATTGTCTGTTAATAGATTCAAAACATAGAATAATATATCTAAAAATAAACCCAGCACCTACAAAAATTAGTAAAGTAGCATTTCAGATACGCGAATGAAATAGAATTAGTTCATACCATTGGGGGAAAGTGTATAATCACCTAAAAAGTGAAATAGGCTGGAGCCTATGTCACAGACCACTAATCAATCCCTCAGTTCCATGCTCCTTTTTCCCATCACGGAAGCCGGTCTTCAATCAGGTTCCTAGGTTCACTCCCTACTTCCCTACAGTTTACCTTACATCTCTGTGGAATGTCAGTAGAGTACACAAAAACTGTGTGAACATTTCCAAGAAATAACCTTAAAACAGAAACATCTGCCTCCTTCGGCTCTCTTCTTGCCAGCGAGAATTCAGTTTTTGCTACAGCACCAGGCACCATCTTGGGACATGAAGTGGGCTTAGAAGCAGAGCATCCTCAGTGGGGAGTGAGATCCATGGAGCAGCAAGCCCTCTTCATGCGTTTCACAAACCCTGAACCCACGGCAGAAAGACACCAACTTCAGTGCTGTCTAATGCATCGCTGCTCTGCATGTAGTTATTATTTTCACTTGAATTTAGCTGGCTAGCACATCTCGGTTTGCAATAACATTCTTATAGCAAATAAATCCAAAAGACTTAAATATTAGTTAAAAATAAAACTATAAAGAATGAGCCAGGTGGTAGTGGCACAGATCTTTAATTCCAGCAGTCAGGAGGCAGATCTCCTGCATCAAGACCAGTCTGGTCTACAAAGTGATTTCCAGACAGCCAAGGCTATACAGAAAAACCATGTATCAAAAGAAAACCTATGAAGTATGGAAGAGAACTATTTTTATAGTTTTTAAGTAAGAACCCCTTTGTAAATGAACATGTAGGCATGAAGGCCAGATAGATAACAAAAAACGGAAGGTTGGTAAATTCAACTACATAAAATGCCACATGAAAACACAATGCCATAAATATGGTTAAAAGAAATTAATAAACTGGATAAAATGCTTGTAACTGCAGCTGGAAAGGAGATTCAGAGGTTAACAACATTTGCTGTTCTTGCAAAGAACCCGAGTTTGTTCCCAGCACCCACGTTAGGCAGCTTACAACTGCCTATAACTCCACCTCCATGGGAGCCAACACATCTAGCTATGATGAGCAACCAAATTTATGTCAGAGTAGGACTAAATTCTACTATCCATAGTAAGTGTTGACCAGATAATCGTGCTAAAGAAAAGCTAGAAACAACTATGAACAATTTAGGGAGTTGAGAGATGGCTCTGCAGTTAAGAGCTCTGGCTGCTCTTGCAGGGAACCTGGATTTGATTCCCAGAACCCACGTAACACTCATGACTGTTTGTAATTCAAGTCTCAAGGAGTCTGACCCCTCTTCTAGATGCCCTCTAATGGCCTCCACAGGTACAAGGCACACACATGGTACACAAACATACATGCAAGCAAAACACCCATATATGTAAAAATAAAATTAAAGTTATGAATTAATAAATATGAACAGTTTATAGAAAAGGAAATGTGAAAAAGGCTTCTGACCTGCAAAATTATAGCACAGTAGGTCAACACTGATTTAATTCAGTTTATTGTGTTCACGTGAATTAGCATTAAACATATGAAAAGACATTTAGCCTTCCTAATAATAAATACAAATTAAAGTTACTATCTACTTACTAAATCAGCAAAGTAAGAAAAACTGATGACAATATATTTTTTGGGCAAAGCTCTGAAGGAACAGATAGTTATCTATTACTGAGTAACAGTATAATTCAGTAGAATAATTAGACTATTATATAATTTGACTATTATACTTGAAAATATATGTATATAAAATACAAGTGAGTAACCTTTGACTCGAAATTCCAGTTAAGAAAGTCATTCTATAATGCATATAAACACTTACCAAATGATGTATGCACAGTGATAGACATCACTGATTTACCTGGAAAGACAGAAGAGAACCTAAATGTCCATCAATAAGAATTGCTTAAATAAATAAATACAGTCTAATATTACACTGGAATCCTACACAGCTGCTAAAGTGAGCTCCCTGGGTGCTATCATAGAATGAAAGGTGAAGGAGTGTAAAATTGTGTCTTATTATTTGTGTTTACAACAGCAGAAAATGCTCACGTTTGTGGTTGCTTATGTGATGAGTATTCCTTAATATTCACTGGACTACTACAGAAAATATATAAGGTGCCTCCAGGAAACAGGAGCTGACCAGCAGAGAGGAAACAGGGGGAGAGTTCTAGAATGGTCTGAAGTTCTTCGAAGTGTGTTGACAACTTCATGCCAATGTAAGAGTGTGGGAGGTGACCTAGTAAGAGGTCGTGAGGGTCATAAAGGGTTAATGCCATTTTCTGAGTGTGTTGATCATTGTGAGAATAGATTATTATAGAAGCCACAGTGGTCCCTTTCATGCTCCTAATATCACTCTTTTTTCTTTTATGAATGGGATGGCACACAAGAAGGACCCTGGCCAAATGCCAGCATTGTGCTCTTTCTGTTCCAAGCCTCCAGAAACAGATGCCAAATTATTTCTGACTATAAGTTATCCAATCTATTCTGTTACAGCTAAGGACTATAGAGTGAAACATGAGACTTCAAATTCACAACCATTAATCCTACAAATTCATAAATTAATATTCATATATTATCTAGTCAAATTACTTCCTTAATCAAGTTTAAATAGTGAACCAGAAGCAGTCACACAGTGAAAAAGATAAAAGTTAAAATTTGGGTCTAATTATATATGTCACCCTAGTGTTAGCTTTCAAACCTTCAATAGGCATGCCACAATCCATGTAACCTACAGAGGTTTGGTATAAAGTAACAGTTTAATATTGCACTTCCAAATATTGATCTTCCAAAGAAGGGGAAATAGGATATATGGTCACAGAGAGACCAGAAGAACAGAACAAAAGGATTAAACAGAGAGGAGGAGGGGAAGAGGGGTGAGGAAAAGAATATGGGAGGGAGCAACAACACTAACAACACTATCTGAGGGTCATATGGAACCTAATACAATAGAAGCATCTTACAATATATACATAAATGGAAGAAATCTAAATGGAGTCACTAAGTAATGGGGGAGACAAATCCCCAACTAGACCTCTCTCTCCCTAACGAAACCTCCACTGCTAGGAATGAGTTTCATCTAATTGAGTTGTCAACCAATGGGGCTCCATAGAAAACCCCAAACAACTTATTCTATTTTCAAGGCTATTATTGGTTGCTCTCTGCAATCTGATAAGACCCTATTGCTGAAAACAGTACTCCCATAGCTCATTAAACACACAGAAGTCAAGCTAGTGCTTAACTGGAACTTTCACCCCTACTGTCTAGTGTTCATGGTACCCTACACACCGGAGAATAAAGGTAAACACCAGCTCAGCTCCAAATCCTTGGAGCATCTGCAATGGATACCTGCCTTATGACTTGCTGGAGCAAACCCTTTGATCTGCAATGGAGACCTGCCTTATGACGTGCTGGAGCAAACCCTTTGATCAGCAATGGAGGCCTGCCTTATGATGTCATGGAGCAAACCCTTTGATCTGCAGTGAAGGCCTGCCTTATGACGTGCTGGAGCAATGGTGGAACAGAAGTTGTGAAAGTAACCAACCGCTATCTGATTGGATTTAAGGTCCACTCCATGAGATGGAACCCTGCATACACTGCTCTGGGGATCAAGGATTTAAGGCTATGGACCATGGACCTAGGGGAAAACCAAATACTGTTGTTCCGCTAACAGAACAGAGTAAGGAAATGATTCCTAGCTACATTCTGCTATACTCATAGATCTGTGCCTTGCTCAGTCGTCATCAGAGAAGTATCCTCCTACAGTGGAAGAGAACAAATACAGAGACCCACAACTGGACTATGTGCAGTGAATGAGTGATCTTAGACCACTCAGTCCTAAATGGAGTGTCCCCACAAAAACCCTCCCCTCCGGACCCAGAAAACTATGTGGAACAGAAGGCAGGAAGATTGTAAGAACTAGAGGGGATAGAAGAAACCAAGGAGACAGTGTCTTCCAGACACAAGAAGCCTGACATACACATCACCTCACAGAGACTGTGGCAACATACACAGGATCTTACAGGTCCAAGCCGAAAGAGTTCCCAGCTCTGAGTTTGTGGAAGTAAGAAACTTTTTCCAACTGAAACTGCTCACAAAAGAAAATTTAGTTTTCTCCATTGGAGTCTCACCAACCACACTTAAAGCAGGCACCATGTCCTGCAGGACACAGCCAACCCAAAACTAACTCAAGGCTATTTTGTGCATTTTTGGTCTCATATTGGCTTCTTTGAGCATTTTTACTTTTCTGACCTTGTTTGTGTTATTATGGTTTATGATTTTGAGTATTTTATGGGTTGTGTGTCTTGGGGGGACTGTGGATGAGATGTGTAGTGTATGTGCGTGTGTGTGTGTGTTGTGTGGGAAGGGGGTTATGGTGTATGTATGTGTTTTCCTGCTTTTTCTTTTGTTTTTGCTTGTTTTGTTTTGTTCTAGTTAATTTTTTATTTTTCTAAATAGAGAAAAAAAGGCTTGAAATTGGGTGGATGGGAGGTGAGGAAAATCTGGGAGGAGATGAGGAACTGAAGACTGTGATCAGAATAAACAGCATAAAAAGTATTTTCAATAAAATAAATAAATATATAAACCTAGAATAATATACATTTTTGGAAAAGATACTTGGTGTCAAGGGATTTTATAAGCAAAAATTGAAAGGATTAAGTTCCATAATTCTATCCAATGTTGTTGCAGTAAACAAATATTAAAATAATTTATTAATAATTGAAATCTGACATAAAGAAATGATGTACTTTGTCATGTCCTTTCATTTAAGGAAATTAGTAAATTCCTTAAGAATAAATTCTTCATCTTATTCTTTATCTGCAGAGCTTGTGTTTTGTTTTACTTACCTAAAGCAGATTATAGTCACAAAAATAAAGACCAAAATGGAATTATAACTAAAATAAACATCAACAAAGCAATGTCACAATGTGCCATGGAAATACAACTTTATATACTAATCCAACTGCTCTTCTGATGTTTGTAGTGTCTAGGTCTTCCTGACTCTTACCTGGCACAGTAGCTGTACTGTTAGCTCTGAAAACAGGCTGTTACTTTTAAGTTTTCTTGGCTAAATTATCATACTGTAGCACTTTCTCTCTTCCTATACACACACACATACATACATACACACACACACACACACACACACACACACTTCTCATTTACACTGGTGCCAGGCTGCTCATTTCTCACACCAGCTGCTCCCTCCACCTGTTCCACCAAAACATAATGTAAAAGGCTCCATCTGATGCCCACATGGATCTCTGAGACAAGATAGACTCTGAAGATGATCTCACTCTTGACTGAGGTGGGGGGTCT